TGCCACTTAGAGGTGATGTACATGTGAGACCCTCAGAGAGAGACATTTTAGTTCTCACTTTGCAGGTGCCTAGTGTACGTCTACCAAGAGGCTGTCTTCATCTGCCTTGTGGTTACGATGTCAGCGTATCTTGTGGGGAAAGATGCTCTCAGCCTTGCTAGGGTGTCTGATACACACTCCCAGCACCGTCTAGAAAGTGAGTGCAAAATAACTTCTCATAACAAAACAAATCAACTGATAACACAAGAAGGATTAGAGACTTTGCTGAAATTCCAACTGCCTTTCCACGATGCAGTCCCGCATCTTTGTGCAGATAAAGATTATGGTTGCCAAGGAAACAGACCAGAGAGAAAGGCAGAAACTGTCTCCTTTGGCTTCCCCCAGACTCACAAAGCAAGGCCGGCTGTGAGCAGAGCTGCATGAGATTATGGTAGATTTATAATTTACTTAGTCAAATTGCTTTTAATTCATAGTCAGGCCTCCTTGTACATGTTTTTTTCTCTGAAAGTTAGGTCCTGCGCATAGTTGTCCAATGTCTGACAAATAACAGAGCTTTAGCATTCATTGTCGATGATTAAACTCAAATGCAGGACAGATGGCTTGTCTGAGTATGTGTCAGACAGGCAAAGCACCTAAGATTTGTGACAAGCAAGACCAGGAATTAACTGCTACGTTTTCGCATTTATTCATACAATCATGTGCGCCATGAATATGGCTGTAAAACTTATTTAAGTGTTCTCACTTTATTCAAAATATTCCCAAACAAAGCAACTGCTCTCCTTTTGGCAAACCAGATGCCCTCATCTCAACCCCATTAACTCAAAATCCATTTTTCTCATACTATATGTATTGTGTATATTTCATTTGCCCTGACATTTGACATGAAAACAGTATCCTCTGAAAACCCAGCTTACCCAGAGCCCACAATGTTGGTGCCTGTTTCATTTTAATTAAAATAATTATTTTATTCAACAAACATTTGTGGAAATAAAGACCAGACGAATGAGAACGGGCAAAGGCAATAGTAAGAGAGTCAGCCAATGTCACTTGTGTTTTGGCCAGAGACTCAGTGTCAAGCAGAGGGTTGGGGAAGCTTTATGGTGGGGGAAGGAGGGGCAAGCTCCAGGTGTGCCCTGATTGGCGGTGGGCTAAGGGGGCTCCGATGATGGCCAGGGGTGCATATTTAGTTATTAATCAAGTCCTGGCTGTTTTGTGCTCATTGTGTTGGGGGTTATTGTTTGGCTTGCTGGACCAGCTGTTAGAGACAGTGGTCTGACTTCCTGCAAGTCTGGCTGGTAGATCGCAGGCTGACTTCCTAGGCTGGTTTCTGCACGTTGTGGGTCAGATTTCTATTTTCATTAGGGTCTGTCCAGTGTGCATTTGCGTATTCAATCTCTTAGCCCATAGTCATTCTACATACAAAAAAAAGTACACGAAGCATCAGTGTACAGTTCAATGAATGACTGAGGGTAACAACCGCCCAGGGGCCCGCATTCATTTTTAAATTCTGCACATTCTTTCCTTCAGAAACCTGTGGTCAAGGAGCATTTTGAGTTGCTGAATGGACTCTTCCCATGTGCTTCTTTAATCCTGGTGTCCGGGTAGGGCTCACCAGCTGCAGGCCTCCTCGGACCTTCTCAATGACGTCCAGTCTTCCCAGACACAGCGGACGGCAGCCCAGTTCCCACAGTCAGACCCTGCCCCGTGAATCACCTTCTTCCACATTCCTGGACCGAGAGGGGCAAGTCAGAGGGCATGCCTGGAAATCCAGTTCCACCACTCTTTTTTGGGCAACAATAATCTCCCAAAATCTGTTCCTTCATCTACAAAATGGGGCTAAGACTCATGCCAGCTCTCCGAGGGTTGCCGTGAGGATGAAGTAAGGCAATGGGCATACAAACTTTGAACACAATCCCTCTTACAGAATAAACACTCAGATTTAGATATATTGGGGGTATTTCTCCCCATGTTTAAAAATGACAGCTGAAAATTATTGAAAGCCCATGATGTGCCAGGCACTGAGTAGGTGCTTCCTCTTAAATTTATGATATTATTAAATCTTTCTATTGATAGCCGAAACCGGTTTGGCTCAGTGGGTAGAGCGTCAGCCTGCGGACTGAAAGGTCCCAGGTTCGATTCCGGTCAAGGGCATGTACCTGGGTTGCGGGCACATCCCCAGTGGGGGATGTGCGGGAGGCGGCTGATCGATGTTTCTCTCTCATCGATGTTTCTGACTCTCTATCTCTCTCCCTTCCTCTCTGTAAAAAATCAATAAAATATATTAAAAAAAAATCTTTCTATTGATAGAGAATATTAATCATCCTTATTTTACAGAAGCTGAGGCTCAGAGATGCTAAGAAACTTCTCTCTCCTCACCTCCACTGGTTGTGAGAATTAAATGGGATGGTAAAGCATGTCCTTAGTATAGTCCAGAGCACTCTGTACTCACTCTGTCGACAGGGCTATTACTGAAAATGGCCCTTTGATTATCCACCATCACAGACCCTATGCAGCAGTTGCCCATCCAACATCTGTTCTCCCTTTCATCCTTACAAAATCAGTTTCGTGTGAGGTGGCAATGGGCCCCATTTTCCTCAGTCTCCCTTATTTCTTTGGAAGTTCACGTGGTCTAGTTCTGGCCAATGAGAGATCATGGGAAGTCTCCTAAGTGGGCCTTTTGGGAAAACTATTATTGTCCCCCCAAAAATGGGCCGCATCTGGCACATGCCTTTTCCCTTTTGTCTGTCTCCATCCTCGCTGCCTGGAAAGCACAAGGAAACCATCAAGCAGAGCTGCCGTCCTGCAGGCGTGAATACCAAAGGCCCATGTCCAGGAGACCAAAGAGGAAAGAAGATCCCAGGCCCCCGATGGCCCACTCGGGGTCCTGCCCCAGCCCTGGATCACCAGCCTCCAAACGGTTTCCCCACTGTGCTTAAGCCACCACGGCCAGCTTTCTACTACGTGCCGCTGAAGGCAATCCAAACTAATACAGGCACTGTTTGGGTGATCTTTCTGAATTAAATAAAATTTCCAAATGAATGGAAATTAAGAATTTGAAGTATGTTCTTTCCTTCAACCTGTCTACACATTTCAATGGAGATGACAAAGAACTCCAGAGAATGAAAGGTTGGTTCCCAATGGTCTCTACATGAATCGTTCTCAGTCCTTCTGAGAAATAACATCAAAGCTTTTCCTGAACATCTGAGGGTCCGACTCCCAATTGCACTCTCCCTTCTTCCCCGTCACATGGTGTCATACATGGTGTCACCAACAGGCTTCCCATGGGTCCTCAGCTTCATGCGCTTGTGGTCTGAGGACACGTGTTCCCAAGGCGTGGCTCCAGGCCAGCCTCACCCAACACGGAACTCAGCAATGCTTCCGTAAAACCTGAGGCATCTGTCTGTCTGGCATCTTGGTCAAACGTCAAAGGCCTTACTTGCACTCAGCCTACTTGTGAGTTCTCCCCGAGTTCTAATCAGGTAGTTTCTTTTCTACCCCAAAAAGATGATGCCCAACATTACTCTGCGTGTTAGAACAGCCAGGGATCTGACCCAAGTGATAAAGGAGCATCTCACCGTGACACAGTGATCACAAACAAGGTGGGGCAGAGGCTTCATCAGCTTTAGGCTGAGCCAGCTGGGATGGCGGCTTTCAACTTGGAGGAAGCTAAGTGTACCAACGGGGTTAAACTGGTGGTTCTGTGCTGTTATGGGGAAATAATATGTCCACATTTCCTCTTACTTTAAATGATTTCTAAGGCAAGGTCAGATGAAGAGGATTGAACTCCAGTCAAAATATAATCCACGAGGAAGACAAAAATTAAATTCCTTCTAACATAAAGTGAGCTGCCTTGATACTGCATGGTACATGACTTTTTATATTCTAAGCTATGAATAACCCATATTTTGCCCTGCTTAAAGAAATATCCTAAATGGCGAAAGTGTTTCATTATTTAACGTGTAAAATTGCTTTACTAAAAGTATGTGACTTGATGGTGAAATAAAGGACACTCAAAAATATTTGAAATAATCCTTCTTTCGATTAAACTAGAAAAGGTGCACATTTTCAATGGCTACAATTAGATCATATTCAAATAACGATATACACACACAATGAAGAGAAAATCTCTAATAATTTATTTGACCTTCAGTTTCACATTGTGAAAAAAAAATAACAGTTTTACAAAACCTCAAAAATGTAGTAGCAAGAAACAAGTACATATGAACATGAACACTTCACTTCTTCAACTTACACAGAGTTTTGTACGTGAACCACATACTCAATAGCCGCGAGAGGGATATTATTCAGCTCTAATCACTCTTATTCAGACAGGTGTCAGGCCCAGAGAAAAGGGGGCTACACAATTATACCAGAAGTGGAAGGCTGCCCTTTGTTATCCGTTTCCACAGCAACCCGTCCACAGAATGAGAAGAACCTTCTCTGTCTTATGCCAAGGTTTTTGTGTGCACTGTGCTGTGAATTGTATTTGCTTCAAAGTGTGGGACGCTTCACAGGGCGAGAATGGTCAAGTAGTGAGCCCAATGCGCACATCAATCCAAAGAGCAGGAGTCCAGAAAGTTCCCTGCGGGCTGGGGGCCCACCCCGACCACGGCTCCCTCTGGCTCACACACAGTAATTAATAGAGGATTCAAGGACAGACCACAACTCTGAAACAGCTGTAGAAAATTCATCCTGCTTTCAGAAGCCATGCAGCGACACACATCTCAGCCTATTTGCATCATAAACTACAGAGCTGTAACTGCTACAATACAGTATAACGCCACCGAACTATGCATGCCGCCATTGTACAATTAGACATTTGCATTGCTTACAACACATCTAGGAGCGAAAGACCGCCTGCCGGAAAGTACTGTGATGCTTTTATTCCAACGGCTCATTTATTTTGGTCCAACTATAGCCCACGTACTCATGGCATGGACGGACATGTACAATTAGTCTAAAGTTTTCAGGTGCAGAGAAATGTTAAGGATTTATCTGTCATTAGACAATGCAAACACACTCACAATGTAAAGGGTTGTTATCAGTCTTAAACCTTATTTCTTAAGTACAGTAATGTGAGAAACATCAGTGAAAGCAGTGCCAGAGTTACAAACTCCGGCCTTCCCCAGACACCTCTGAGGAAGTGCCTCTTTGAGTCTAATACTAACACCTATCACAGCACATGTTTGGTTTAGTAAACAAGCTCACAAACTAGCAAAGAATGTATTCACAACCAATTCCCAACTATCCCGGAAAACCTCAACAGCGGCTGCTGCTCACAATCGTGTGGTGTTTTGTAACCAAATGTGTCACTTTTGTGCACCAAAGAGTTCTTTCAGAGACTTACCTGCAGGTGAGCACTAGGGCATACACTGTACCAATGTTCACACTTGTCTTGGAGAACTTGTCACCCTCGCTGAATTGTTCAGCAAGAATAACAACGAATCCAGGTCCAGCAAATCGGGGGACTGAATTAACTTACGTCGGTGATAATGCAGTGTTTCCCCCGTTAACTGTGGTGATGGCAAGGCCTTCTCGCAGGGTAATAAATAAATAAATATATAAACTTTGGACTATGTCTTTACCTGTGCCCTATATACAGAACTATTCCATAGAATTTTCCAGGATTTCAGGATATTACACAAAGGGGAAAAAAAACACACACACACAAAAAACCTGCGAAGCGATTTGGTCCTTTCCAAATTTCAGTAGCCAAGACTGAAAGAGGTGACGCAGGTGGGAAGAGAGGGGGTGGAAAGAAACCTTCCATCGCCCCAGGAGCCATCAGCATGCCCAGAGCCCATGAGGCCCCATGAAAAGTTGGCGAGTCTAAGAAATGTGACCTCCATGCCTTCCCTACCTCTGGGGTGTAATTTAAGTTTCTGTTTTGTAATCCTTCCCTGTCTTGACATTTACAAAACCCCTCCCCTTCCCATCCCACCCTCCAGTTATATTGCAAACTGTAACTCCAAAGTTTTCCTTTTTGTGCAGCAGAGCACATCACAACAGCCACGAAAATTGTGCAAAACATACAACCATCACACACGTCCACACACGTGAACACAACTGTAAGCACTGTTTCAGCATGCAGGCATCACACAATAAATAGCTAAATCTAGAACACACTTCTTACCAGCCCGGGGAAGGTTTAAAGTCACTTATAAATAGAAGAGATCGTCTACCAACACCTACCAACAACGCCCCCATTGTTCGGAACCTTCCCGGGGAGCACAGCCCCTCGGAGGCTGGCCGAGCCCAGGGCTCCTCTCTGCAGCCAGCGCCAGCTTCCCTCCCGGCCCTCCAGCCGGCTTTCCATCTCCAGCAGCAGCTGGCGAGGAGGCTTCAAGCTTGCTCCTCAGAGAGAGGTGACAACCATTTCAAATTTTACACATAAATGGTGGAGCCCATGGAAATCAGACGCTGAATATGGTACAGCACGGAAAGGCCCCGGCTTTTCTCTCCCTTTGAGGGGCTGATTAATGCTGACATTAATCCACAATTACAAGACAAGGACTAGATCACAGGTTCATTCATTCATATTTAAACCATGTGCTACTTGCACTGAAAATCCCACCCCTCCCCCACCCCCTCCTTCATGTCCAGTTAGAGCATTTACAAGGTGCAGCCAATCGTACAATCCAGGTCTTGTAGCAACTTCTTTTCCTTTTTTTTTTTCTTTTTCTTTCTCTTCATTAAAGTTGGCCTCTCCAAAACAGAAATCATTTCTTGAGCTAAAACAGAGGGAAAAGATTTTTGTTAGTCACCTCAAAATCTAAAAAAAAAAAAAAAAATTAATTAAATTAAAACTCAGGACAGAGCTGGCCAATATTGCTTCTAAAGGTCTTAATTACATGTTCAGTAGGAACTGTGCAAAGATATGTGAGGTGCTTGTCATAAATGCACACACACATGCATGCATGCATGCAGATGGCTGGCCCGACGGACACAATGGTGTCCAAAGAAGGGCCCTCACTTCTGTCCTAAACATGTATATTCAAATTCAAACCTATATGTCCAGGTGCTGCTATCCGTTGCCATCTTCTGCTTCCAACACCTGCAATTCCTCTCCGTGGCAAAACAGAGCCACCGTGCAGCAATCGCCAGAGGGTCAAAGATTCCTGTGCAAACTCTCCTTTGCCCATTACCGAAAAGGATTCCAAATTCAATTTATTCACCATATAGACGGCAGACGTATTAATCCTCTCATTTAAATGCATCTCTGCTATTCATTATGGCAGAAATCAGTCTCGCTTCTTTTCGTATGACAACATCCCTGGCTTCAATAGCCCAAGGCTGGCGTTTATTCTCAAAATGCATCAGTCCACACTTGGGAGGCACCAGCTCTGGTATGCAGTGTTATCACCTATGGAATCTACCAACGTCAAGTGTGAATACAATCAAGGTGCCACAACCAGGAAGCCTGCACTTTCATGGGAGCTGGCGTTTCCTCGCACCACCCACCCTCCCCATTCATTCATGTCTAATTTGATACAGGGGAATTTTACAAGTGGTGCGTCTTTCACAGGCTCACCCTCATGAAGCCCATTTCCAGCCCTGGTAGGAATCTGCATCCCGACTGCTATCACTCTATTGACAAAGGGAACTCAGGAGGGGCCACTCATTACTTGCATTAAATTCTTCTTGCTTTTGTGTGTTTAGGGCTCTGATTCATCTCTTTAGCTGTTTCTTTAGGCAGTTTCATAACAGTGATTCAAGCTTTCAAGGCATTCTTTAGACTAAGGTGTCATGCTCCTACCCCCACCTCCTTATAATCTATATATCAACATCAGGCCAAAAGAATGTATCTTGAAATAATATAAAATTTCAAGATGTTGCCTACTGAGGGAGCACGGGGGTGGGGGGAGGAGGGGGGGGAGGAACTACCAAAAGAAAAGGAAAACTCTAAAAAGGGAAGAAACAAAACAAAGCAAAATCTAAATGCTCTGAGGTTGGGGCCACACAGCACCATGAAAATGCAGGCTAATCAAAAGTAATTTCCTCTTTGTCCATCCCACTCGCTGTCAGAGCAGCAGGAGTCAGTTAAAAATCTCCTTGATGGATGAGCTTTCAGACCAGGGCAAACTTTCTGTTAGCACTGTATTCATTCCTTTAACACCCCCATTTGGAGAGCAAAGAAATGTCCGGAAGTTTTTGCGGCTTAGGACTGGTACCTACACAGCACCTCTTCTCACTTAAGTGGTTTAACACTGTCTGCGTGCAGTAACCTTTAGCAATTTAAACCAACGCCCTCCCTGTGGGAAGCTGCAGGGGTGGCTCTGATCAGGCCCAAAGGTGACCCTGGCGCTGTCACATTTCGTTGTTATATGCTGGACTCTGGCTGGTAGCACCAAGGGTGAAGATGATGTTATTTCACCTAGAACCTAGCACTCTATTTGCTCCGTTTCTTTGGGACCAGAAGTGTGTGGCAGGGTTCGAATGTTCGGGACAGGATGGATTCAAGCGTCTGCATAGGATGGATTCAAGCGTCTGCATACTCTGGGCTGAGAAAAACGAGGCACCAAAAATGAAGTCTAAAGAGAACAGGAGTATAATAGTCAAAGACACCTCATTTTCCCACCACACACCAAGCTAATTCCATTGCCAGCTGAGGTCTAAATGGATGGGAGGAAAGAAACCTAAGACTATTGACGTGGACACTGAGTATATGCCAGGCACTGGGCTAGGTATTTTCGGGTCCCCCACCCCGTTTAGCAATTTACCCAAGCCTGGACTGGGAACAGATCTTAGGGGAAGTATAATGCAAACCACTCATTTGACAAAGGGGCCAAATCCAGTAAGGTCCAGACTCCAGCGGAGAGAACCAGAACCAGAATGCACATGTGATCTCTTTCTGCCTCAGCTTCCTTACCTTGCTCCAAGGGTGCCAACCATTCCACCAGTTACCATTTTGAAGCACCGCCACCGCTGGCAATTTTTATGGCTCCCCTGTGCAAACAGAATCGGTTCTGGACTAACACCCAACTTAGTGTGCTGTTAATTGATGCTTTACCCTCGGAGGTTCTTAAAACCAGCTTTAGAGGTGAGTCATGCGTTCGTATCACAAATGAAATAACCACTTTCAGAGCATTTGTTTATTCAGGATTACTGAGATGCCAGCACGGCTGCAAAAACCAGTTTGGTGTGGGACGCTGTGGGCCAAGTCGCTCCCCAGAGCGGCTCCTGACTGTGCCTGCGCCTCTGAAGGAGTTTCATTCCGAGGAAACATTACATTGCTAAGAACTCTACTAGCTGGAATAGGCTGGAGGAGATGACTGCAGAAATGAAATAAATAGAAAGATTAAGTGTGAAAGCGAGGCCAGTTTTCATGGTGTTTTTAAAAGAGCGGTGAGAGATGAGGAAAGAAAAGACAAATGAGTCAAAACCCCACTTTGCTTAGCTTGCCACGACCCCTAGCTTCTTTTTTTTTCCTTTTGAAAGTTCCCTTCAAAGGTGTGAAACCTGCTAGAGAAAACAGAGCCAAAAGTTTCCAAGTAAGGAGTTAGTTCTCTGTTGTAGTCCCGCCAAAGCAGAGTTTTAATTTTATTCTATTATTAGTAATTGTAATGAATGAGCCCATGAATCGCCAAAACAAATCAACACACTGTGTGCTCTGTGCTGCCCGTAGACCTGCCGAAGTCGTTCCTGGGGCTGATCCTAAGGCTGCCTAACAGCAGCAACACGGCCATTAGCTTGCGAACACGGAACTGTGTAGGCCTGTTAATTATTTGAGCCAAGAGTATTATATACTCCTAAGTACACAAGACAACCATTATGTACTCAGATATATGACACAGAAACACAACTTTTTTGGCGCTGACAATAGGGTCAGCCTGTCTGATTAACTCTGAAAGGCTGCTGCAAGAGCAGTTTAGATGGCTCCGAGTGTCCACACGTCAGACCAGCGCACACAATGCAGGTGCAGCCTTTTACAGGGGCAGACCTAAATTTCCCTCCAGAGTTAACAAATTTGAGAAAAAATTAAATAGCCTAATAAATACTTTTGGAACTAAGAATGAATTTAAGCATTGCATTTTTCTTAAACCATATTTCATTCCAGAAAAGGGTTTGAGGAAGTAAAACTTCTATCAACAAGTATCTCCTGGGGTGCCACCGATATGGAGTCAAGTGTATGAAGCGGCAGTTCAGCATGATGCTCGAGCGCATACGCTCTGCAGTCAGGCTGCCTGGGTGCGTTTCTGGACCAAGTCTCGCGCCTACTAAGCTCTATGACCTTGGACTCGATGACTTAACCTCTGTGCATGAGGTGTTTTCATCTATGAAGGGCTCTAGTAATAATATCTCACAAGGTTGCTTTGAGGATTAAATGAAACGATCCATGTGAACACAGCCCAGCTCCAGACACACAGCGAGGGCTCCCCCGATACGAGTTGCCATCATAAACATAGGTCAGGGTTTCTCAACCTGGTGCACATTGGAATCACCGGAAACTTTCTAAAATGCTGATCCCCGGGCTCCACTCAGATCACATGAAGCCAAGTCTCTACGTTGGGCAGCTTTTGCAAAGCCCTTTGGGAGATGCTGAGGTGCAGTAAAGGCTGAGAACCACTGGCTTACGTATGTTAGCTGTGGCCAATACAAGTGTCTAAGTTGTGGGATACAAGTCCTTCTATTTTTATAGTTTTTGGAGTACTTCTATAGGATAGGCTATATGGACCATGCTTCACTCCACATGCAAACTTGCCAGCTCGCTTAATTATACGCATACTTACAACTGAACTGGCTTACCCCGTGCTCACTTTCTGTAAGATGCACTGCGCTTAAGAAGGCAGGTGCTTCCAGGTGCTGACAAACGCAGTCGGGATCAGGGAGTATGGGACTGTGGTTATGCTGTTCCACACATCCAGCGTTGGATCGTAGCAGTCCAAAGTTTTGCATCGCTGAATGCCAAAGTACCCTCCCACCACGTAGAGTTTGTTTCCGGAGGCCACAGCGTGACAGCTCATGCGTTTTGCTGTCACGTCTCCCACCTTGGTCCACTGGTAAGTCTCACTGTTGAATTTATAAGCAGAGCAGGCGGAGAACTCTGTATCTCCCCCCATAATAAAAATCTGGTTACCCAGCACAGCTGCTGCCGTGTAACGCCAGGGCTGGGGACAGGTGGCCGGCACCGTCCACCTGTTTTCACATTGATCGTAACACTGGACCTTGGGGAGCTTGTCATGACTGACGCTGGTACCTCCGAAAGCAAACAGCTTGAGCTTAGCGCTCACTACTGCTGCATTGCTGACGCCTTCTCGGAGTGGGGCCACCATGGTCCATTTGTTGGTCGTGGGGTCATAATGTTCCACTTGCTTCAGAGAGACTGAGGGGGAGGCTGGGAGGCAGCCGGTGGCGGCTGTGTGCCCCCCGACCACATATAAGCAGTGCTTCAGTTCGGCAGAGCCGTGGCCAAACCTGGCTACCAGCATGGGGGCGGCTTTGGACCACTCCTCATGCAGGGTGTCATAAACCCAGACATCTTTCGAGACTCCGTTTTCAGAGCCCCGGCCCCCAGTAATGTACACTTTGCAGCCAATGGCGCACGCACTGAACTCTTTTCTTGGGCTGGGGATGTCGGCCTTAGGAATGATCTCTTTGGCCTTCTGGTCGACGAGGTACAGCTTGTCACACATGAAAGTCTGCCCTCCCAAGAGGAAGAGGGCATGGCCAGTCTTCCGAGGCCGGGCGCAGAGGCTGGTCACCACGCCATCGTTCTGCAGGATCTTCAGCTTGCACCTGATGGCCTCCTCCACAATCTCCTTGCTCTTCCTCTGCTTGGTGATGAGCTCCTCCATGGCCACGTTCTCCATGAGATAGATGGCCGGCAGGAGAGCCAGCCTCACCGTCTGCAGCAGCTCTGGGAGGTAGCAGTAGCGCTTCTTCAGGTCGTAGCTGATCCAGTTGATTGCAGACTCGTACACGAGCCTTTCATCTTCCGTCTCCAGCTCTTCGCTGGACAAGAGCTGCACGACCATGTCCTGGGGCAGCTGGAGGAAGTCTTCGTTCTTCCGGATGGTTTGGAAATTGCTGAGACACATTCTCCAGGAGAGCTCGTAGAGCTTGGTGCACTGGTGCGCGTCGGACAGCAGCAGCATGCCCAGGCAGTTGGTGGGATGCAGGTTCTTTTCCAGGAACTCAGCACAGGCATCCCGGATGTCTTGAAACTCCAGCATGTCGCCAGCTTCCAGGAGCGATTCTGCGTTTTCTTCATTGATGATGACCCGGGAGGAGTACGCGTAGTCGAGAAGCAGCTCCAAGACTTCCGGGTGGATGGAGTTGTCGAAGTTGACCTCACTGTCCTGGCTCTCCTTCAGGCCGCCACTGAACATGGCTTCAAAGTAGCGGCTGCAGGCAGCCAGCACCGCCCGGTGGCAGGGGAAGGTCCGATTCCCCGCATGGAGAAGGACATCGGTGAAGAGGCGCTGCTGCCGAAGAAGGTTCAGGTGCGTGAGGACGCTGTCGGCGTAGGACGACTTGTGGAACAGGTAGATGTTGATGGAGCCGCTGCTGGCCCTGGACTTGCGGTTCTCATGCACACTGACGGACATTTTGTTTCCACTCCTGGAAAACAAAACCAAACCACTGAGGGGTGCTCCCCATGTGTGAAACAGCAGAACAAAGTAGCGACCCTTTTGGACAAAGAAAACAGAACTGTTTTGCGGTTAGCTCTGCTGCCTCCTGTTCTGAATCATGGATGGCCATTCCTGTACCCAGTCAGAGACAACTACCTATAAGGAGAGGCATTCATGGCCATACTGTTGAGCTATTTGAACGATACACTGTTTAAAAAAAAAAAAATCACTGCTTGAAAGCAGGTTCATCTTGGAAAACCTGACTGCCGACTTTCAGGACATTGAAGTCCTTGAGAACTGTACGTCAGCATAAGCCAGGAGGAGCAAGGTCTCATTCTCCCAGCTCCCTGTCCCTGTCCAGCTGATTCACTGCGGGCCACTTCAAATGCCAGGCCGCCAGCTCTCGTAACGCCAGGAGAGGCACCAGCTGTAATGCCCTGTGCAACATAAAGCCATGCGTAAAACAAATACCTGCTAATTAATTCCATTAAGAATTCCTTTGGTAAGATCCGGTCTCCCTGCAATATACAATAAGTAGCAAATGTAGTAACATTAAAGTCACAGGCTTAGGCAACCTCTCCAATGATAGGATCCCTATTTAAAGTTACAGATCATTTCCAACCAGACAGCTCTACCAGGACAGAATCCTAAAGGTGGCCTAGTAGACACATTACCATATATTGATCAGCAAGCTTTAGAGAAAACACAGAATAGCGTCCGACCACAATCACCACCCGTCTTTCTTGCTCTGGACAGCTTCCAAAATGAGGGTTTAGGCACATAAAATGAAGAATATTTTTTAGCATACTCATGAGTACTGTTTTTCTGTTCTTCCTGCTTTATATCAATTCTTGGAAAACCAGTTGCAAGAACAAAGGAGCTATCTGTCCCTCTCCTTTTTTTTTTTTTTTAATTTGGTAGTGGATCACCAGGACCATTCTTATGTATCTGCTAATGCGGCATCTGCAAATAGGGATTTCGAGATGTAAACATTGCCTTATCTAAATCAAAAATACACACATACACACACACACACACACATACGCGCGCGCGTGTGTGTATGGACTATACATGCACGTGTATTTTGCCAACCGTTGTTAATTTCGGGCCACCCTAGAATTTATTTGCTGACTAAAGTGCTCTTTTCCTCAGTATCTAAATTGAAATGATAGCAGAATCTAATGCTATCTTTGGCTTACTCCAGTAAGTAAATTGTAGGCTAAAGATATAGGAAATCCCTATCACCGATCTTCAAAAATTGAATCACATGCTTAAAACCACACACACACACACATACACACACACACACACACACACACCACTCTACCTCTCTTTTACTTCAAAGGAATAAAGGCTTTAAGCACCTGCCTGTCAGAGGATTCCTAAGGAAGCTGTTTATTCCAGGCGAGTAACCTGGGTGGTTACAGTGTCTCTTCCAAGCTCAGAACAGCCAGTCCTTACAGCACAGCTGAAACCCGCGGCCTGCTTACTTCCTTCAACCATGCAGATATTTATGTTTAATTTATATCCCAGGAATTATGAATAAATGCAAATGAGTAACTTACCCAGATACTAAGCTGCCACTTCCCTGACCAGCTGTGTCACAGAAAACAAAAGCAGGTGCCTAACTTGCCCTTAACACACAGGCCACATACCAGGAGGTGATGCAACTTGTTTTCCTTTATTTGCAGCATGTAACTTTTCATTATGATAAACACGGCTCGGTGGGAGAAAAGCAGCAACCAAGTCCTGGGCTCTGGTGTTACAAAGACTTTACAAACACCCATTAGTCTCCTATTAGTCTCCTAGATATAACAAATGGGAAGGAGCCAAGTTTCACCCCCACCTCAAGCCAAGCCTCTACAAGTCTAGTCCTTTTTCTCACCAGTGTTCAGTGCTGCAGAGAACAACCGGTATGATCCCATGTGAATGCACCAGGTTTCCACAGAGTTAAAACATCTATTAGTATCACTGAAGCTCTACCACTGTAGCTTGTCATTTGAATTAGTACATTCCCTCTGAAGCACGTTGAGGAAGATTTTAAGATCAAAAGATGCTATAAAAACTTACAAAAATTCCAAAAGAGTAGCTATAGCTTTGGTGTTTTTAAGCAAATGCTTCCAAAGCAACCTCCATTCAGGCTAAGAGCAAATGCAGCTCTGGCTGAAGAATGAGGGACCTATACACAAGGTGCATAAACACCAGAAGCACATGGGGCAGGAATCCCAGGAGCCCAGGGCACGTTTCCCTGAGCATTAAATACCTGATCATGTCAAACACGACTCACAACCAGGCCCACACTTAAGAAAACTGAAGAAGACCTTAGGATCTGCATCTTTATGCATCCCGTGTTGATGCACCTGCATTGTCCAGGTTGGCCCATAAAGCCAGAGGAAGAACCTAGCCTGCCATCGTGGATAACATCCAGATAGAGAAGCATGTCACAATCAAAACCTAATATCCGTGCAGCAATATTTGATTAAAATAAAAGGTATACCTGAAGACCCACGGGGAAAGCTGCTTTCTGGTTTAAAATTAGCAAAGACCCAAATATCATCAGGAATCATTTATACAGTCACTAAGCACACCTTCAACATAAAATGAATCATCCTTCTGGCATTTTCTAAGCCCCCAGAGAAATATTTGCATGCCAACTAAGTGTCCAAAAAATGCACACATATACTTAACCTGCACCTACAAAGACGATGAGAAAAGGGCTGCCATGACCCTGAACATCAAAAGGGCTTCTAGGTACAGGAACTTCAGTTCACTTAAAGCTCCTGACCCCGTGCTCTCTGCCTCCAATTCTGTGTCCGTT